CAGAGTTGTCTGAGGAGGGGACCTGCCTCCTTCAACGTCTACTCTTCCAGTGTACCCAACTGCTTGCCCCCGGTGCTGCCCTCTTCCTGCTGGTATCTGGGCCAGTGGGGAGACAGTGGGCGGGGCTGTGTGGTTAGGCTGAAGCAGCACTGAGAGTCACCATGGGCTGTGCTGACGCTTCCTAAGTTCCCAGGACCCCCGCCCCCGCCACACACACCCCGGGACTGCTCCATGCTCTGACGGCTCAGCCACACGTCCTTGACTGCTTTCTCAACCCACATAAAATCTACCCCCCCACCAGCTACTACTTCCCTCCCCCACTGCTGCCATTGTCGGGTCCAGTCCTCTGTCTTTCACTCAGACTGGAGCTGCCTGACAGGGATGTTTACCTATTATAGTCTGTTGTTAGCATGGCAGCCGGAGGGAGTCCATTCAGACAGCAGTGGGACCTTGCCACTCGCCTGCTTACACACACACACCCCATACACCCAGATTCCCAGCACAGCCCCTGCTCTGCATCCCCCTGGCCTCCCTAGGACTGCCCCAAGGCTAGCATCTGCCCTGCCACCCTGCTCCCCAGGTTGATCTTCTTAGGGAGCCCTTCATTTTAATAATCTGTTTTCATTTTATGTGCACTGGTGTATTGTCTACACGGATGTCTGTGTGAGGGTGCTGGATCCCCTAGAACTAGAGTCACGGTTGTGAGCTGCCATGTGGGTGCTGGGAATCGAACCTGAGGTCCTCTGAAAGAGCAGCCAGTGCTCTTAACCATTGAGCCATCTCTCCAGCCCCAGGGAGTCCTGATCACCCTTTTGATGCTCATGCCTCTTCCCGATGCTATCCCTCCTTCCTCCCGATTTTCCTTGGCTGCACTTGCTGCCATCTGCAACCCTTCCTGTTTTCCTGTCTGTCTATCTCCTTACCCATCAGAGGCCACACAGGTCCCTGTAGAGTGCTTGGCTGACTGTTGACTGAGGTGGGAAAGAACATTTGCAACCTGGGGCTCAGGGAGGGGACGGGACTGGGGAGGACCTCAGCTAGAAGGGAGGAGTCATGTGGTCACTGTCATGCACTTGACAACCAGGAAACTGCTGCCTCCTCAGTTTGAGCAGGTCAGCCCCTTGCTGTCTGTGGGCCCCTTCTTACAGTCTGTGGGTGCTAACTGAAGCATGTTCCCCTTCCTCACTGGCTCCTGGCTGACCTCAGAATGGCTGGCCTTTGTCACAGTGTACGGTGGCCCCTAGCGAAACCTCCCTTTCCTCCAGGTCTGGCTCCTCCTCCCTGCCCCTGTGACACCCTTGTCTCTAGCACCAACAGGAAGTGCTGGCAGCTGGTGTGTGCCTAGGAGCCAAGGAGACTTACCTGGGCAGGAGGCAGGCTGGCTAGGGTCTGTGACCTCCCCCATGCCACCCTGCTAGATGTCACCCTCTACACCACACTTCTCTTCCCCTGGCACCAGCAGCACGGGACAGACCCAGATGGCTCTTTGGCCTGGGGACAAAGGCCACACTGTGCCTGGCCCTGGGCGGGCCTCGGGCTGGGCCACACTGGGCCTTTCTGTCCCTAGTTGGGGATGAGGGGCAGACAGCACCAAGGTGACAGGCCCTTTTCCTGTCTCCCTTCCCCCTCGGCCCCCAAATCTAAGGAGCTGATTCTCCCAAGGCAAGAGTGACAGAGCATCTTGTGTCTTGAGCTGGGGAAAAACAAACCATTCACTGCCCAGACTGCCCTGTCACACCCAAGACCCTATTGGGTTCAATGCTCTAATTGTCCCTTGCAGAGAGAAGTAGCCACTCTGCTCTGGTCACCATTCCTGCTGCCTGCTCCCCTGTCACCATCAGGAAGTCCATCCTCAAGTCTGACCTCCATTCCTCATGCTGTAGTGACAGCCATTTCCTCTTGGCTGCTTCTCCAGCAGAGAGAACAGCTGGTTGCTATTGCTGTGCAGTCGTCTGACACACTGCTCAGGTCAAGCCTTGAGTCTAGAGCCTCGGTTCCATTCCACGTTGCCAGCTTTTCCTCTCCGTTCTGCCCGCCACTCCGTCCTGGGCCAGCTATTGGCTCTTTACTCCCAACTGAACCCTAGAACGAGCAGATGGGATGTTGGCTTGATCCTTGTCTTGAAGAAATTATCCGCACTAAGCAAAAGCCAGGGTGTAAATCATGGTAGCTACTGGGAGATCCCCAAGCCAGCAACCCATCCCACCATAAGCCCACACTGCAGGCTGACTGTACGGGAAAGCTGTTTTCAGACAGCTGATTCCTCTTGACGGAGCTGAATTCGTCAACAGCCAAGTGTGTGTGTCCCCTGCATCCCTTGAACAGCCTTGGCCACATGCCCCATGTCCCCTCAGATAGCTATGGTGGTGCGTGTGAGCGTGTACACTCACACACACACACACACACACACACACACACCATTCCCCTTGGTTTGCTCCTAGAGCTTAGGAAGTGTTTGTGTGTTCCCCAGTTGTAGCAGCCCCCTGTGGGGCTCCTGAAGCTGTGTCTGTCTCCTTCCTGCATCCTCTGCAGCTCCAAGAGCTCTCTCCTAGCCCTGATGGTAGATTGGAAGGGTGGGGTGACAGTCAGCCTTCACCTGAACCCCAGACGCTGCCAACCATGTCTTCACATGCTGACTGTCGGAGACCCTGTTTTAAATACGTATCTTCCGCCCGTCTTGGAGAGACAGGGCTATAATCCTAGCCCTTGGGAGACAGGAAGATTGGAAACCCGAAGCTGCCCGGGGCTACAGTGGAATACGCATTGCCAAAGAAGAATGGGTGGGTACAGCGCTCAGTGATTGAGAGTGTTTGCTGCTCTTCCAGACGACCTGGGTTCAGGTCCTCAAGCCCATCTCAGCCAGCTCACAGATGCCCAAAATTTCAACGCCAGAGGATCCAACTCCATCTTCTGCCCCTCAGGGGCACCCGCATACACACACACACACACACACACACATGCACGCACGCACGCACACACTCGCACACGCAACACGCACACAAACAGAGGCACACACGCACGCACACGAGCACACACGCACACATGCACACACATTGACATAAATTTTTAAGAAATCCTGAAGGAGAAGGTGGAGACATTTTTTCCTTTCCTACCACTTACAGGGCCCTGGGTTCAATCCCAAGCATTTCCCCAGGCCCCAGTTCCAGGGGCTCTTACTTAGAATGTGCTCTGATGTCCCTTGGTCAGAGCACATTCAGCTGGACAGCAATAGGCATGTACATGGAGTGATCACTGCCCTCTGGTCTTGCTGGGAAAGGGCATCACCAGACAGGGCGTGTCTGAGACTTCTTGTAACTGGAGTCTGTCTGTCCTGTTACCTCTGTGGGTCCTTTCAGCTAGATGCCACACATAGGGGCATGTAGCAGGGTGGCTGTCCTCTGGGAGCTCCCGGAGTTCTGCAGAAGGCAGGCCTGTGACAAAGTCATACAGGCCAGGGCCATAAGTGGGAATCCTTGGTGAACCCAGGTGGACAAGACAAGGAAGCCGAGAAGAGCCTGAGCCGTGTGCTGTCGTCAGCCTGGGTCCCTCGGGAACAGGGGTCTTGGTTAGCTACTGTAAGCTAGTGTCCAGCACCGTGCTGTATGCAGGAGATGCTCCGCCGGCAGTATGCCATCCTGAACTGACTTGGTCTGCAAGCTCCTCAGCAGAGGAGGGCTCAGCTGGCAGTGCAGGCCAGAGCCTTCTGCTTGGAAAGACACAGGCCCAGCTCAGCTGTGGTAGGGGCAGCCAGGAGCACGGAGTGCCAGGGAGAGGACCTTTTCCAGGCTCACAGAGGATATGATCGTTAAGCAAAGCAAACATGGTACTGACCCATAATCCTTTAAACCAGGAGGATTCAGGAGGGGCCTGGTTGCCTTGGCAACTGGGTGCTGGCCAGCCGCAGGCCTGAGCATCCTCCAGAAGTGGGTTATAAGTAGGCCCAGGGAGGAGTGCAGATGGCCCCTCCCAGACAGGGTTGGCTCGCCTGATGCCTTCCAGGACAGGGAGCAGGGTGGGGCTGGGGCTAAGGGGGGTTGTGTAGCCTCTGACACCTGCAGCCCCACTTATGAAACCCGTGGAGAGTGGGGCCTGTGGGCAAAGCATGGAGGTGCACACCTTTAATCCCAGCACTCGGGAGGCTGAGGCAGATGGGTCTCTGTGAGTTCAAGGCCAGCATGGTCTATATAATGAGTTCCAGGCCAGGCAGAAATATACACTGAGACTCTGTCTCAAGAGATATAAAGGAGGGAGGGAGGAAGAGAGGGAGAGGGGGGGAGGGGGAGGGAGGGAGGAAGAGAGGGGAGGAGGGAGGAGGGAGGGAGGGAGGGCCGGCGGGTGGGCACAGAGCATCCACCTGTGGGAAGCAGCAGTAACACTGGTGATGCTGGCTGCAGACCAGGACTTAGAGGGCGATAGAACAGGGCAGCTCCCGCCACACGGTGTCCTCAGCCCAGGGCACCCAGGCCTGCTCAGAGGGCTGAGGCGAGGGAGGGGCAAGCAGCTCAGGCTTCCCTTTTCCTGGGCCACCTGAGTTTCCCACGCTGCTCCCGATGGGTTGGGCTGGGACATACACTTGTTCTCCCCTGATCGCCTTCCTAAGGATCCAGGATGAGAGAGGACACATTCCAGTATCCATTTCCGGTCTCATGGAGATTGAAGCCTGTTGACAAGTGGGCACCAACCAGTTAGGCTCTTTCAGAAAGAGCCAATGGCCCAAGGGCCATCCATTCCTGGTATCCTGCCTCAGAGATCTCCAGACACTCCAGCTGAAGGCTGAATGTCTGGAGTGGCCTCTTGCAAGCCGGTAGCTATTCCCATCGATGCTGTGACGGCAAGGGAGGGAGGGAGTATTCATGGACAGAAGGTGGCTGAGAGTCACTGGAGAGAGGAACAAGGTTAGGCCCTGCCGTCACAGAGCTGAGGTGCTGGTCAGGACGACCTCGAGTGTGCCATGTGGATGTAGAGTGGCCACATTGCCGTGTTCTCCCTCTGTGTCCCAGGACCCGCAACGGACCCCTGCCTACCATGAACAAGATGAAGAACTTCAAGCGAAGGCTGTCCCTGTCCGTGCCTCGCCCAGAGACCATTGAGGAGTCCTTGACTGAGTTCACCGAGCAGTTCAACCAGCTCCACGCCCAGAGGAATGAGGGTGAGGGCCAGGCCACCTCCATCTTTCCCACCAGACTCCCTATGAGCCCTGCCTACCAGCCGCCCAGTACATTAGGGAGGTGGGGGTGGGGTGCCCTGGCCTGTCGAGCGGGAGGGAGGAACTGACACCTGTCCCACTCAGACTTGCCGCTCAGTCCTGTGGGCTGAAACCAAGCATGTTCTCCCCACAGATGGTGGGGACGAGCCCGGGCAGCTGTCCCCAGGTGAGCAGTATCAACAACGGCAGAGCCAGCGCCGCTTCTCCATGGAGGTGAGGGTGCCCCCCAGGCTTCACAGGGCAGGCACATCCACAGCAGGGTGGTTCCTCTAGAGCCAGTCACTGAGGGTTCAAACCGGAGGAAGTTGTTGTGGGAATTGTGTGAGAATGTATGCCAAGTGCTAGAACATTCCTGGATAGACACCTCGACTGTTCTTGTGACCCACACACCTGTGCCAGTTATAGGGAAAATGTGCTTACAACATTACACTGTGGGAGGGTGAGATTTATGCTCTTCAGTCAGTGCTGCTGTGGCCCAGAGAGGTCACACAGTAATCCTTGTAAGTTCACATATGTATACGCTTCCGGTAGCTGTGAGCCTGAGGTCACAGACTGGCTTAGCCCTGCTCTGTATGTACAGATAAGTCCAGAGGGAGAGGCAAGGGCCTCCTGGGGACAACATGGCGTTCCCTTCCAATCTGCCACCTCAGGACCTCAACAAGAGGCTATCTTTGCCCATGGATATCCGCCTGCCCCAGGAATTCCTGCAGAAGCTACAGCTGGAAAGCCCAGGGCTGCCCAAACCACTTACCCGAATGTCCCGTCGCGCTTCCCTGGTGAGTCCAAAGAGGGTCAGAGTTTGCTGAGTGCAAGACACCAGCATGGGTAGAGTTCTGACTGGCCTTGTTCATCCTAGCTGAGGCCTAGAGTGGTTTCCAGAAAGATTCCCATGCCTCTGGCGCCACCTGCTGTCCTCTGCAGATCCCAGTGGTCTCCCTGTGTCAACCACACAACTGGGTATGGAGCTAAGTAGGCCCCAGGGTCGTCCAGATTAAGACCAATAAATCAGTGTTGTGACTCATGTCTGTACTCCCGGCATTCCTTGGGATGCTGATGCAGAAGGAGTGCCAAGAATTCAAGGCCAGCCTGTGCTACAGTTCCAGGCCAGCCTGTGTTACAGTTCCACTGTAAGACAGTGTCTCAAGAAAACAAAACCAGGAGGAGTCAGATAGGGTCAGGTTGTGTTTCACTGTATAGAGACATGGTTCAAGACTCTCCCCGGCCCCACTATCGTGGGCATGTTCTTGGTTGTCCCCAAATAGCCATTGTGTGCACCCACAAGTTCACTCGTGCACTAGCAGGAAGAAAGATGCCCCTTCCTCACCAGAGATCACTGATGGGAAGAGATAGGCACATCTCTGAAGCTAGTCACTACTGTGTGCTCAGGGGCTTGGAGAACATTGGTCAAGGAAGCATTTTCCTGGCTGATGAGAAAAACAAACAGACTCGGCTGTGGCCATCTATTCCTGCTAGAAGGCCATGCCGTCTGTTTTATAGCACACATAAATTATGGGATGCTTAAAAAAATGAAGACCTCCCCAAGAAAACAACAAAGAAACAAACAAAAAGGCTAACCCATCAGAACACCCATCACACGCCTCCAGGTCCCAGCTTCCTGTGAGAAGCTCCTCGAAGCCTCTCGGTGAATGAGTCTCAGAGCTCTGTCTTATTAAGACGTGTCCTGTCCTGAGCTAGAAGAGATGAAGGGACGAGAGACCGGGGCAGGGGCCTGATGTTAACTCCACCTAGTGGAGAATGACAGAATGACAACCCCCCCCAGGAGCCAGGCAGGCAGAGAGGTGGGCCCTGGGAAGGCAAGGCAGCTCCGTGTGTCCATCTCCAACTCATGCAGGAAGGAGCCCCCATTGAAGGGGCCCTTCAACTCTTTAAGGATGAAGGGGAGGAGGAGGAGGAGGAGGAGGAGGCTTTGAAGCCGTCCTCCCTCGAGCTCGTAGCCTTGGATCCTCTCTGATCAATGAGGGTGTCTCACTATCCCTCCACCTTCGGGAACGTGGACTAGAAAGATCTGCTGCGGCTTTGTCTCTCACAGTCTCCTGTCTGCTTTCCAGTCAGATATCGGCTTTGGGAAACTGGAAACGTATGTGAAACTGGACAAACTTGGGGAGGTAAGAGGCCCGTGTTGTTCTCTCCAGACAGCAGGTAGGATGGTTTTGACTCTGCTCTGCTCCTCACCGCTCCTGACCCTCAGAGTCTATAAGGGGCGGAGCAGGGAAGAGAGCAGGAGTAATACCCCTGGGGCTAACCAGTGGTACTCTGTCCCAGGGTACCTATGCCACCGTCTTCAAGGGTCGCAGCAAGCTGACAGAGAACCTTGTGGCCCTGAAGGAGATCCGGCTGGAGCACGAGGAGGGGGCGCCCTGTACTGCTATTCGAGAGGGTACAATGTCCGGGTCTGCCTCCTGGGCCTCTGGGAAGAGAGTCTCAACAACCCTCACCCTGCGGGAGCCTGGGTTGAGGGCCATTGCTGGCCCCAGGAAGGGACAGTGGGGGGCATTGGTGGGCCTGGGGACCCAGGTGGGCCTGTCTCCCCAGTGTCTCTGCTGAAGGACCTGAAACACGCCAATATTGTGACCCTGCATGACCTCATTCACACAGATCGGTCCCTCACCCTGGTGTTTGAGTACCTGGTGAGCTGGGCTTGGGGCTGGCAGCTTCTTCCCCTGTGGGGGGGGGTGAGGTGGGGAAGGGACGAGTGGGAGGGACGGGGCAAGGGAAGGACCCAAGCCTTCGTTTGCCAATTAAGTCCCCATAGGGAAGTGGGTCAAGAGTTCGGAGCCAGGGCCCCGCACCGCCACCAGGCATGGGCCCTGACTGAAGAGGGCTTCCTTCCAGCCTGGGTGTGGACCACTGGCCAGGCAGGGGGCGGAACTGAACCTGACTGTCTGTTCCAGGACAGTGACCTGAAACAGTATCTAGACCACTGTGGAAACCTCATGAGCATGCAGAATGTCAAGGTGAGGGCTCTAAGGTAGGGACAGCACATGGCAGCTGTCTGTCACCAAGCCCAGCGTGGGATGCTGCTCTTGCCACCAGCTGCTGAGGTTGCTCAGAGTTTCAAATGCAGGAAGGGAGGGAAAGGCCAATCGGCCACTCTAGAAGCCGTTCTGAGCACCCCTGCCAAGAACAGACTTACCCTCCACTGCTGTCTATCCACTGCTACAGACCCCTCTCTTACTCTGAATACCAAGCATGAGTCGTCTGCCTGAGTGAAGGGGCCTCCTGAGAACCGAGGAGGGTGAATGACCAGCTCTAGTGACCAAGCACATACATGCCCGCCGGTGGGACCCCCACTCCCTGTGCTCCCCTGCTTCACATCTAGAGACCACACCAGCCCCCTCACACTCACTGCCTCCTCTCCAGGCCTGGCCTGGTCTCCATGTGTGATTCCCTGGTGTGCACAGGTCCCAGGTGGCCTGCAGTGTAGCCTGCAGAACCAGGGAGGCTCCCTAGAGATTTGGGCTGCTCTCCCATTCCTCTCCAGCCTGAGGCAGAGGCGTAGGGCTCTGGTCCCACCACGCTCCTTGTTTCTCTCTTCTCCAGATTTTCATGTTCCAGCTGCTCCGGGGTCTGGCCTACTGCCACCGCCGCAAGATCCTGCACCGGGACCTGAAGCCCCAGAACCTGCTCATCAATGAGAGGGGCGAGCTGAAGCTGGCTGACTTTGGTGAGGCTGATGTCGGGGTTCGCATGTGGGCCTGGCCCCTGGGGTGCACAGCCTCCTCGGGATGTAGGGCTTCTGAGGGATGCCTGAATACCTTTCACGGAGGTTCAGTGACATGTCTGTTCCTAGGCCTGGCCCGGGCCAAGTCAGTGCCCACAAAGACGTATTCCAATGAAGTGGTAACCCTCTGGTACAGGCCCCCAGATGTGCTGCTGGGATCCACAGAGTACTCCACCCCCATTGACATGTGGTGAGTGAGCAGTAGAGGGAGATGGAGAGACTGTCCACATCCTTAGACCGCCCCTCCTCCCTGCTGCGCTGCCACTAGCAAATGAAGTCTGAACTGCATCAGGCCCTCGGAGCTTATAGACCCTCGAATGCTGTGCTTCTGAAATGCTTCCCCAGGGGTGGAGGTGGGAATTGCCAGAGGGTAGATGAGTCTTCCCCCCAAACATCTTGGAAGAGACATACTATTTTATTGTTAAAATTGGCAAATGTATAATTTAGTGTAAAATGAAATCAGCTCACCTTGAAAGCCAGCACAGGTTTCTGGCCAAGCCCAAGTCTCCCCCAGGGAGTAAGAGTATCCATCTGCCTTTCTGCCTAGCAGAGTTAAGGAGACCCAGGGCTCACAGAGAGGGACCATAGTGGGAGTCTGCTTGGCTCTAGGAGTCTTTCAAGTCCCAGATGTGACCTCTCAGACTTGTTAGGGTGTCATTGGAATCCTCACACAGAAGCCTTCTGAGGGGCTGTGCTTCCTGGCCTCACCGCTGCCCTTGCTTCCCCAGGGGCGTGGGCTGCATCCTCTATGAGATGGCCACCGGGAAGCCCCTCTTCCCAGGCTCTACCGTCAAGGAAGAGTTGCACCTCATCTTCCGTCTCCTGGGTTAGTTTCCTTCTTTACATCAGCCTTGCCACCAGGGGGCGCCAGAACTCTGTCCACTCTGGAGCACGGAGGACTGGGTTGGGTGGGGACCAGCTAGCTTTGGCTACTCTTTGCTGTCTCCTTCCACATTGCATCCTCGCCATATCGGCCTCGTCCCTTCACTCGTACTTCTTACCGGTCCCGTGTCTCCAGGCACTCCTACAGAAGAGACATGGCCGGGTGTGACGTCCCTCTCCGAGTTTCAAGCCTACAACTTCCCCCGGTACCTGCCACAGCCGCTGCTCAGCCACGCTCCCAGGTAGTCCCTTCCCAGGACCCTCTCTCCCCAGTATGATCTCCCTCCCAGAGGTTCGGGTCCCCAGGCTGCCCCTGGCTGCGCCTGTGCCAGCGCCTCCTCCTTGCAGGTTGGATACTGAAGGCATCAACCTCCTGGCCAGCCTCCTCCTGGTAAGTTTCCTCCCATCCTACCCATGGAGAGACAACTAAAGAAAGCCAGGCCAGGAGCTCAGATACTACCCGTGACTCCAAAGCCCAGGAGGGATGCTAGTCTCTGTGCTTGGCACCCATGACCTGGTTGGACACGTCCTGAGGACGGGAGGCTCCGTGGCGGGTACCAGTTTATCTGTTAGAAGATGCTGGGGATACACCAAGATTGTGGGGATGGTGCAGCACCTGCCTGGGAGCAAGCGCAGGATAAAGCGTAGTTAACAGTGCTATCTGCAGATAGCACCGGTACTCACTCGGGTGCCGACTGTCATGGCCTTCTCATGTATGCCCATCCCAAGAAGCAGCCACTCTTCCAGGAAGCCCCATTTCAGGCTTTCTCTGGCTTCCAAACCCTGGTATCCTAGGACCGAGGCTGTCTGATTTGTGTCCGATGAGGGCTTCTTCCACCTTGGTCATCTGACTTAGCGTAGGAGTCCCATTTTCTAGAAGGTTCTCCAGCAGGAGCCAAGAGCATACCCTGTGCCTTTCAGTACGAATCCAAGAGTCGCATGTCAGCAGAGGCAGCCCTAAGTCACCCGTACTTCCAGTCTCTGGGAGAGCGTATACACCAGCTTGATGACAGTAAGTATCCAAGGGATGAGGGGCAGCCGGGACAAGGGAGGGGGACAGCGGATACAGGCTGGGCTATAACAGAGGCTGGACACCTGGGTCCAGGCAAATGGTCTTGAGCGCATGGCCTCCCCTTCCCAGTTCCCCTTTGGAGAACTGAGTCTTGGCTGGAGGGTGCCTTGGCCCTGTAGATTTAGTGGAAGTAGGGAGAGGCAGGAAGAGAGTGACTCCACTGAAGCCTCCCCTACCCTCTTCTCTTGCTCAGCTGCCTCCATCTTCTCCCTGAGAGAGATCCAGCTCCAAAAGGACCCAGGCTATCGTGGCCTGGCCTTCCAGCACCCAGGTAAGGCTACATGCTCTCCCTGTACCCTTTGCTAGAAATAGCCGAGTAGACCACCCTTCCCCGGGGTGGGGGCTCCTTTAAGAAAGAGATGGTCCCAGCAGTCCACCCTTAGGATAGGGAGTCAACACCCCCTCCCCATAATACCTTACAGGATGTTCCTCCCTCACCTACCTCCACCCAGATGGAGCGCTGCCTTTTACAGTAACCCTGGCCAGGGTGTGCCCTGTCCCAGGCGTGCTCTCTGTGAAGACCCCGAGCTCCAGGCCAGTTAAAACTTCGTCCCTAGCACAGCCAGTGGGCTTGAACTGAGCGTGGTTCTCATGCATTCATTGCCTCATATAATCTTTAAAACACCCTGTGGGGCCAGCACTAGAAATGCTCTCCACTTCAGTGAAACTGAGGCCCCTAGAAGTTAAGCCTCAGTTTCACACAGCTCACACGCAACGGAGATGAGACTTGAATCCAAGTGCACACGCTTGCTCACTGGATCAGAGCATGTGAAGGACAAGTGTCCCTTTAGTCCCCTTCCCACCCCCCCCATTCTTTTCTGCCCCCCTCCATTCTCCAGGGCGGGGGAAGAACCGTCGGCAGAGCATCTTCTGAGCCATGCCCACCCTGCTGCAACTCAAGGGACGAGAGGCCACACGGAGCGTGAATTCAGGAAGTATGGGGCCTGTGTGGCCATCCGAGGGCTGAACAATGAACGCCTGTGGCCAGTCTGGAGGACCACTTGGCAGCCCTGGTGGTAGCAGTTACTTCCTTTCCTTGCTTGCCACATACCTCTGTGGTGGCCTCTACCTGGACACCAACCCCTTTGTCACCCGCTGTGGGATGGGGCGTGAGCTGCTTCCCTGAGAGGAAGTGAGGGTCAAGGGGGGGACCTGGGACCCTTTCCCAGCTGGAGTGCAGGGGAACTTGGGGGCCCTGGGCTTGCCTGGCTCATCAGCTGACAGCCCCTTTGGACATTCGCTTTACCTTCTTCCCCTCCAAGAACAAGGAATATTCTAGGAACAAGGCACTGGGACCCTGGAATTGTGCCAGTGTATGTGCTAACCCCACCCAAAGGCAGACATCCCTGGAGCGTCAAAAAGAAAAAAGAATAGTATCCCCTCTTGTCACCACCCCCAACATGCTACTGCCCCTCGGTGCTGGAAGCCCTTATACCCTCTGGCTTGAACCAAGGCTAAAAAGCACCAGCATGCTGCCCCTGCCCAACTGCACCTGGATGTGGTCTGGTCCTCCCAGCCGTACTCCTGCCGCCTCAGCCACCCCCCTGCCCATCCCCCAGTCTGGAAAGGGTTGCCTTAACTGGCAGGTGGTAGAGTGCACACTGTTCTTGGAGCTCTGGCCTGTGTCCCTCCCCCCTAAGCCGCTCGCACGGGTGTTATCAACCCTGAGGGATGATAAGTCAACCCTGTCTCAGGGTCCTGTGGCTGGCACCCAGATATGCAAGGTCACCCTGATGCTGGTACCAAGGTGGCCTCGGCTCTTTGGGGCTGGTGCAGCCTTTCCCCCATGCCCCACCTCCTTCCTAGCCCTGTCCGCCTGACCCTGGCCCCAGCCTCTAGAGAGGGCAGTCCTGAGAGTAAGGATGCTGGCACCACAGCATAAGCTGGAGAAGGAGCCCTTCCTCAGCACCCCTCCCATGTTCCAGGGCCTCCCCAACACTTGGCTGAACTTGAAGGGCAAAGGCCAAGGGGAGGGCACGCCCATGTTTTCTCCACGGGCCCCACCCCCACCCCAACCCCTTGGAGCCTGGGTTCTCCCTGACCCCCTTCCCCACTGACTGTGAATGTCCTGTGACTCAGAGCAAAGACAGAGAATATATTTAATTCATGTTGTACAGAAGGCCGTGAGCAGTCTCACTCAGAAAAGGGGGCTGATAGATGGGTGCCAAAGCCAGAGGACCAAAGACGTGTAAGCGTCAGGCCCTGCTACACAGGCATACAGACCAGCGAAGAGAGCCTGCTGTGTGCGCATCTCTGGACCTGCCCTGGGCGGCGGGGAGGGGGACTCTGGTACCTTCCCTGCCACATTTGAGGCACCCCAAGAGTCATGGGTGAAGCAGAAAATGTACAGGCCTGGCCATCTGTGTTCTGTGTCCTGCCCTTGGCCCAGGGTGTGCCTGTGAGGTGGGACCAATGAGGACAGCCCAGAGAGTCTCCTGAGGAGGGGCATGGAGTGCTCCTTGGCTTCTTGAGATGGGAGGGCACAGAGATAAAAAGAGAACTGGACCAGGTAGTGGTGTGGATGTATACCTTTAACCCCAGCACTAAGGAAGCAGGGACAGGTGGATCTCTCTCTCTCTCTCTCTCTCTCTCTCTCTCTCTCTCTCTCTCTCTCTCTCTCTCTCTCTCTCTCTCTCTCTCTCTCTCTCTGTCTCTCTGTCTCTCTCTCTCTGTGTGTGTGTGTGTGTGTGTGTGTGAAAGAGAGAGAGAGAGACAGAGAGAGAGAGACAGAGAGAGACAGAGAGAGACAGAGAGATAGAGAAACAGAGAGAGACAGAGCAGAGAGTACTTCTTGAACCCATTTCCTGCTGCTGTCAAATGTCTCCCTCTATCTTCTGGCCCTCCTTCCTGTCACACAGATCTTAAGTGCTGAGAATCCAGCTGTTTTCTAACCCACTGCTCAGATTTGTTCCACACCATGCAGAATGTCAAGCCCTAAGGCGTGCCTCCTGCCCTTAGCTGTTCCGTGGCTTTGCCCTTGAGGAGACTCCTGCTTCCTCACCTAAGCCATGGAACTTGGGGTAGGCCAGGGCTTGGTTCTTGGCCCCATACATTTCCCACACTAGTTTCCATCAAAGCTTCAAAATGCAGAAGCTCTTAGGCAATGATTAGCACCTCCTATGAGGGGAGGGCCAGGCTGTGTGCAGGCTGAGACCCAGCGAGGGACCAGCAGGTGCAGCCTGTTTACTAAGCCACCGTCCCTGTGCCCACCTGCGATGCGTGGGCCCATCTCACCGAATCTCCGCTACAACCCCTTTCTCCCTGATCCGCATATGTAAACACTGGGGTCCCCAGGGATGAAGTGATCAGCCTCAGGTCACATACAAATAAGAAGCCCAAGTCCGCTGAGATCTGGGGATGTGGCTCAGTGGCAGAGACTTTGCCTATAACTATGTACAAGGTCGCTGCATCCCATGGGCTCCAGGTTCCATCCTCATCCCCAGGGAAAACAAAATCAGCAGCAACAAGAACTCTAGACCCCTAGGTCTGTGGCAGTCCAGCCCTCCTTGGTCTTTAAGGAGGGGAGGGGAGAGAAGGGAGGATGTAAACACTGAAACCTGCAAAGTAGGAAGCAAGTATGAGAACGGGCCTAGGAAGATGCAGCTTCCCAGAGCAGCACTGTGGAGGCCAGCAGTTATCACCCTGGGGGCCCACAGTGTGCAGTAGCCCCTGTGTCTTCTCTGCCTCCCTGTGCAGCTGTCCCTGGGCTGTGGCTGAGGCTGTGGCTGTGGAGACACAGGGAGGGGTGCCTTGGTCAAGGAACTTTTACCCTAGAGAGCTGTCAGGCTGGGGGATCGAGGCTAGACCCTGCAGATCAGACTTACTCCAGGTTTGCATGTACTCGGGAGAGATGCTGGCTCGGGAGAGGAAAGCTGGCTATAGGCATGAGGCAGGGCTGAGTGACTAGCTCTGAGCTGCCAGGGCCGGTGGCTGCAGGAGCCACTGCTAGTCCTCTAGGGACCAAGCTGAACCACAACCCAGCCCCAGACCCTGGAGCCCTGTTTCCTGGGCATTCAGAAGTCATTTCTGAACAGAAGTCTTTGTCCCCTCTGGCATCACATTTACTGTCCTCATTCCTGGGTCAGGAATGCCCAGGGCCCCATCTGACCTCCCTCCCCAGGCCTGCTTCCAGCTGCTGGTCCCGTTTGTTAGGTTCTGCTGAGCCGGGCTACAGCTCCCACCGAGGAACCTAGGGTTGGCTCTCCCCTGCCCCACTCTGACAGGTACCATGGGCCTCCCCTGCAGACTTCATCCCTAGACCCTGTCAGCCTGCTAAGCCAGAAGCTCCTTGGGCCTGACGACTCCTCACAGACTCAGGCACCCTTCTTCATGTTTCCACAACCGCATCCACAGGAAAGGATAGCTTCACAGGAAGGTTCTGGAAGATGCAGGGGTTTCTGCACCTTGCCCTGAAGTCTGGAGCTGGAGGTTGGGGCTGAAGCCTGGCAAGCCACCCCTGTCCACTCCTCTTGCCCTCCTTGCCAGCCGCCTGTCACTGTCAGCGCTGTTATGAGACCTGCCTGTTCCCTTCTTCATTCCTTGATACAGCCTGGCTGCTTTGGTCCAATTCTCTTCACCTTTTTTAGACATTTGCTTCCAATATGAGACTCCACAGCTCCCTATGAACCCTCTGTGTGTAAATCATCCGTATAGGCATTGGTCACAGCCTCCATGCCCGGTCCTGTGCTCGGCACCAGGACATCAGGTGCAAGACACAGCCCAGACCTGCAGGGCAAGGTGGCCTTTCTTCAGACAGATTTCTGCCAGGCACTGTGTGCCAAGCAGTGTGCTTGGCTCTGGGGACAGATCAGTGAGCAGGCAGGGAAGCAGGCTTTGCCCAGCTGGACACCGGCCAGTTCAGTGAGGCGAGCTGAAACAGCACCAGGAGATGTGAAGGCTGGGTGCCCGTGTGGTCAGAGGCTGTGATGGGCTCAGCGGGGCTAGGAATGGTGAGGAGGAAGCTAGGCGGACAGAGGTCTCGAAGAGCGTGTGCTGAGCCAGACACACAGGCTGGAGCAGAGCAAGCCCGACAGTGGCCGCAAGTCACTGTCTTCTGCTCCATCGAATGTTCTCACCTTCACCCATCCCTGCCCTGGGTTCCCAGGCCCACTGCCCCTCATCAACTCACAAGAGCAGCAGGCTCTGTTCCTGTTCCAGATACTATGGCACTGGCAGGTGACATTGCCGATGGTCAGTGGCTTGCTCCCGATACGTGTGCCAGCTTTCCTCAGACAGACAGACAGACGACAAGCCAGGGTGCACTGGCACAGCGACATGATGTGACACCCCAGCCACTTCCCCCCACATTAGACGTTTGCCCACGCCCCCCCTGCTTTGGCCTTCTTTCTCCCTTGCTCTGGGGGGCTGGGTCCTACCTGGTGAGTGACTGAGTGTCACTGTCTTACTTTCTCCTGTGATAAGACATGCTGACAGAAGTGACTCGAGGGAGAGACCCTCAGCTCACAGTTCAGTGACAGGCCATCATGGCGGGAAAGCCAAGGCAATGGGGACTCGAAGCGCCTGGTCACATCGCCCCACCACTAGGAAGCAGAGTGGTGAGTGCCTGTGTCCACTTCTCCTTCGTCTTGTACATGCCAGGGCCCAAGCCCACTTTCAGGATATCCCTCCCTCCTGAATTAGCCTATTGGCGACTGTCAATCATGCCCAGAGGCTAACTAATCCATCACAGGCGTGCCTGGAGGCTTGTCTCCCACGTGATTCTGAATCATGCCAGGCTGGCACCACCACACCCCTCCCCTTTGTCAAGTTGACACTCAGACACTTAAATCATAACCTCCCATAACACACAAAACTCAACTTCAAAAGTCCCCCTAGTCTTTGATAATTTTAACACCTTTAAAGTCCAAAGTTCAAGGCCCAAAGCAATCTCTTCCATGTGAGTTCCTATAAAATACAAACTGTTACATTCCTCTAACACATAATGACACAGAGTTAGCATGCCTATCCAAAACGGGTAGAACCAGGCGTGACAAGAAATGATCAGAAAACCCAATCCCAAACAACAAACACTAAATCCTGTAGCTCCGAGTCTGGCACTTGGGGTTCCTTGTGAAATCAACTGGGGTCCTGTAGGATTGGGTAGCCCTTCACCCCTCTACATCTCTCTCTTGAGTCAGCCCAACTCTGCATATAACGTTTCCTCAGTGGACATCCCTCATCTCTGGCATCTTCAATATCCTGTGGTCTCCATGGCAACTTGGCATCTTCAATAGCCTGTGGTCTCCATGGCAACTTAGGGTTCACCTTCACAATTTCACACAGCTGACTAGCAGGGACTTTGACCCTGCCACACATCTCCTGGACACAGTTGCTGTCTGTAACATGGGCGCAAGATTCCATAGCTCCCCCAGTCATAGGTCTTTTATATGCAAGGGGGGCACAGTAAAGAAACTGTTGAGCAGGGCGTTGGCAGCACATACCTTTAATCCCAGCACTTGGGGGGCAGAGGCAGGGTTAGGGTTAGGGTTAGGAGGCAGGAGGGTCTCTGTGAGTTCAAGGCCAGCCTAGTCTACAAGAGCTAGTTCCAGGACAGGCTCCAAAGCAACACAGAGAAGCCCTGTCTGGGAAAACAAAGCAAAACAAAAAAGCTTGCCAGCATGGCCTGTCCATGATATGGTTAAGATTTTTTTAATTGTAGATAAGAAAGGGGAGATATCCAGAGGCATCTGGAGAGACAAGAGCAGAGAAAGATGTAGACGGAACATGGCCCAGGGCTAGGGAACATATCGAGATAGCAAGGGACAGAGATCAGAGCCTAGCGAGGGCAAATAAGAGCAAGATAAAGTGAGAGATAGGACAGAATAGCAGGAGCAAAGAGCAGCGGGAAGAACGGTGAGGCTGTAAGGATGTGTAGCCAAGAGTAGAGAAGCCGGTGAGGGGGGGAGGAGGGGAGAGGGGCCAGATGCCAGTGTGGGCTTTGAAATGTGTGACAGGTACTTGTGACGCTGGAGGTCAGCATGGGCTTTTAAATTTTTTTTTTATTTATATATTTTGGCTGTCAAGACTATTTCACAGGTGACGTTGCCAGCGTCTATTGGAAAGCATGGGCTTTGATATGCTGCTAAGTGTCATAGGTAGCCATGTGTCCCTTATG